AGGGAAAATTTGTGTTTCGCTGTTCTCAACGCTGCCTGCATTTGTTTGATGGCAGTGTCTTTGGCACTCTGCGCTCGATTATTAATGCCAAGGGATAGTATCACATGTTCCACCCACATTGAGCCGGCAGTTTAGCCTATGATGGTCTCTATATTTTTAAATATGGCATCTGGGTAGCTTTCAATTTGGAGATCCTTATTACTGTAAGATTAGATTTTGGACAGGTTAGAGTCCCCCAGAAGCAACCATTTTTTGCGTACATCCAATTGCCATTCTAACTGTTTGCGGGATGTATGTGGCTGTATGTTAGATTTAAGCCCAGGAGAATGCTGCTGTGCACTAGACGATGCCGCCACGGTAGGTACAATACTCAGTCGGGACTGGGTAGCCAGTCTCAGGCTGATGACCTTATCCGGGCTCAGTGTTGTTGTTTATTGTGTGTTAGGAGGACTGGGCGTCTCATCATCCCCGTGCAAATCCACCGGGAGCAGCCTGCTCCCCCTGAGGTGAATCACGTGGGGTTAGTTGTTCCTGTGGGGGGTCATCCATAATGTGTCTAAATGGTGTGGAGACAGCTGCAGCCTCTAGTAAGAGATCCAGGGGATCCTCTGTCTCTATTTCTCTATAGGGGGACCAATCAGGCCTCTGATCAGTCATGGTGGAGGCCGTTATAGTATCCCTGACCCTGACTGGACTGTGTAGGGAGGCTTGGGACTGCGCATCTGCCGACCTATGGACTTGAGCCTGGATCTCCCTCAAGTGCGTAGGTCTGATCACCGTGGGAGAGCTAGGGTGTGGGTCAGTAGTAATCTGCTGCTCCTCACGCCCCACCCCAGGGCCAGCCGCAGGCACTGAAACCTGCCACTGGCTCTGCAGCAACGCGTGGGTCTCATGCAGCGTTTTGTCCTTAAGCCTATTTCCAATGCATCTCTTTGCCCAGTTAATGGCGACATTGTAGCAGTCTTCCCAGCCCTGGGGAGAGAGCTGCTGGAGCTCAGCTAATTTTTCCTTCAATGTGTCCTCATAATGTTGTCTGAGTATTTGAACGGTGATGTAAGCCCAGTTCCTGGCATTTCCCTCCACCAGGGCCCGGGCCGTAGGGGTTGGCAATGCAGGCCTGATGATCTCTGCCAGGAGCTGCTGTAGTTTGGTAATGGATGGAGGTTGGTCCTTCTGTACATTGTTTTTGTGGTGCACTAGTTTGATAATGTTGAAGATGGCCCGAGTTGTTTGGAACAACTCTGGGTCCTCTTCGTACTGGGGCTTATTGTTATTAAATGGTTTTCTCTGTTTCAGGGTGATGAACCCTGAGGGCTGGTGCCATGCCCTATCCCTAGTGCCTGTTCTAGGCGCATTCATGAAAGAAGTTGTTTTTGCGGGCCCCCATTGGGCCCGCGGTTCAAAAATTGTGGTTTAGTAGACCATTGGTGGGAATTATTGCGGTTAGTGGGATGTGGTTCTCTATATATGCTGTTGTTGACCGCGTCTGCATAGGTAAAGACATCCTGTCTACATGCACGGTAATCCAAATATCGGCCTGGATGAGGAGCAGATCGGTCTCTTTTTTTTTTTTAATGTGTCCTGTCCGGCAGCTTTCGCAAGCAGAATAATGGTCTGAATACACTGCTGTTTTAGACATATTTGCTTTACCATGAGGGGCTCTATAAACTGTGTATAGGCCCTTCATGTTGGTCAATTTCATTTTATTCGTATATTTATTGTATTTCATTTAATACATGCAAAATATTTCAGTTGCTGTGCTGCCCGGAAGGGAGTGATAGATTAGGAAAATGAGTGAAGAAAAGGGGTAGGGAGAGAGATTAAAGAGGAAGAAGGAAGAGAGAGAGAAAAAAAACAAAGGGGGAGACAACAGTGGGACAGAGAGGCTAAGAAAGAGGAGTAACGTAAAAAGCACATAAGGCAAGAAAAGTAAAAAAAAGGCATTTGAAATACAGCCAAAAAAGGACAAATACAAAGACACAACCAGAAATAAAGAAAATAAAAGATATACAGACATTCAAAATTGTTGCGTGTGCTTGGAAGGGAGCGTGGAGGTGTATTTGCATGTGTTTATCTGTTTGGGGGAGGTGTTTGAACACGTGTGGCAGGCCCGCGTCTGCGAGACCACCGTCCAGCCATCCCATTGTGGGGTTGTCATCATCAAGCTGAAGATGAAGAGGATATCAGTAAAGGAATGGTAAGGTAAGTATTATGGTTGTGGTACAGGTAAGGTAATGCAGGTAGGTAAAGGTTTGACTTGTAAGTTTGTTTTTAAATGGAAAAAAGAAAAAATAAAAGGTAAAAAATATATATTTAGTTGGCCAAAATGCTATTTGTGCAGTGAACAAGCCGTCGCGACGTTTCGGTCTTCCTGGGACCTTCTTCAGGCGGGCTTCTTTAAAAAACAGACAAAAGGTAATTGTTCTTAAAAAAAAAACGGTTTTGCTCACTGAGCTTTCAAAAAATATATATTTTATACCGAAATATATGTGAACTAAATAAGTGGTAGATAAAGCAAGTAGTATACCAAAGGATCTCTCTGAGAATAGGCTTTAATATGCCAGCAGGATAAGATGCTGTCTCTGTATAGAGCAACAAGCATCCAAGTAGATGGCAGTTGGAGCTGGCCTCTTTTAAAAGGTAAGGGGGTGGGGCTTTTTTTTTTCAAAAAGAGCCAACCAGGGCCTTAGAAAAGTAAAATTAAATATAATGCTGTTTTAAAATAATCAGAAGTAACCAGAATATAATTAAAATCTTATGTTGTATCTATGTTGGGTCATTATAGTCCTTAAGTTGTTTTTAGTTTCCCCAACATATTGCTTAGTACATTTTAGACAATAAATTAGGTAGACAGAGTTATAAATATCTTGTTTTAGGGGTGGCCAAATAGTAAATATTTTTTTTGATCTAGGATTTATAATGAAGCGGTTTGGTAAAAATTCTGGGAAAGGTATTGCGTTTGTTTAGGTATTTCTCCAGATTGTAAATTTGCTGCTGGTTAATATGTCTTTTAAGTTGCTATTCTTTCTGTAGGCTGAAATAACCTTATGGTAATTTAGTACTGTAGCCTGAGAGACAAATTTATTAAAATTTTCAACAGAATACTTTGGTCAGAGAAAGTGGACACAAAAGGGATGATGTCATTATTTTCTGCAATGGCCTGACTCAACCTGGTTTCCCCCTTGAGGAAGTCTTTCAAACATCCCCAACAAAATTTTCATCACCCCCCAAAAATTCTCTGGTCGAGAGCAGATTCGACGGAATCGGAGGAGTTGGGACTTGATAATACCCTTAAAAGTATGTTTAGGGTGATAACTCCCTTTGTGTAAAAGGGCTTGTGTGTCCGTGTCTTTGAAGTAGACTTTTGTTCGTAGTTGGTGGGTATTGTGAAAGTTATTGTCCTTGAAAGTGACTGTGTCCAAGAAATTAACCTCTGAATTATGTAAGTTATATTTAATTTTTAAGTATGGAAGTTATTAAGATTATTAGTGAATTCCACAAATTCCTCCTGTGTGCCTCCCCAAACTCCCCCAAATGTCATCCAGGAATCGGTAGTAATGCAGCGGTTTAATAGGGTAAGAGGCTAAGGCCCCTTCTTCCCACTTGGCCATAAAAATATTGGCATAAGAGGGAGCAAACTTTTTGCCCATCGCGGTTCCTTTAACCTGCAAAAAAACCTCGTAATTAAACTCAAAATCGTTTTTGGTCAAATTAATTTCCAATAAGTCCAAAATTTACTCATCTGGTCGTTTCCTATCTGGATACCTAGTAAACCACTCTCTAATCACCGCCAGGCCGGTCGTGGTTTCGATGTTTGTGTAGAGACTATCGATATCGATAGTAAACAGGGAGCAATTATCGGAGAGGTCCAAAGCTGTAATTTTGCTTATAAAATCAAAAGTATCTTTTACGTAACTTGGTTGTCTATTACTAATTAGGATTAGGGGTTAAGGTTACGGTTAGAGTTAGGTTTTATGGTTAGAAAAGTGTAATGATTTATCATAGATATTCATTGTGCCCTGGCAACATTTAAATAATTATTATTTTTTTCCTTTTCTATTAATCCTCTTTCCTTTTCAGGTTTCCCTAATGGGGATGTATGTCCTTCCCTGGCAGAGACGACGGCCACAGCGGAGTCGGCGGAGGTGGAACCAATTCCTGGTAAGTATAATGCCCAGTCAATGGGTTCCTATTTTCTGATCCCATACAGTTTTGCTATTACCCTTTCTGTTTTATTTAGAAACAGCGGAGACAGCGAGAGTGGCGGAGATGGCGAAAGCAGAGAAGATTCCTGGTAAGTATAGTGTTCCCATTAATGGGCTCCAAATTCTAATCAAACCAGATTTACCTATTGTAGTTTTTAGGATGCTATTCCCTTTTACTGGGGACAGCAAGAAATGACGGAAATACCACTGAAAAAGACCACGGAAACCGAAAAAGCCTTTGGTGAGTAAGATTGTTTATTGGGCTAGAAACTCAGATTCAGATTGTTTTAAGTCTTCTAATGTTCATTCCCTTATATTTGAGGTGGAACCTTACTAAGAAATGGAAGACTACCAAGATAACAAGCCCCACAAAGATCAAAAATAAAGATGATGTTATTATTTTCTGAAACAAGTGTTACCGTGTTTTAGCTATGTCCGATATTTCAAACAAGGAAGGCAGGTCATAACCAACTCATTTTTATTTCCTTAATGGAAAATCTATATCATATATAAAATTTTAAAATTAAAAATCTACCTGTATAAATAAATAAATAATATATAATTAATTAATACTTATGTTCATAAAAAGTGAGCTTTATTGAAAATCTCCCAGTTCCTGCCTTTATAAGAAATGAGAGAGCAGAGAAGAAAGAAAAGAAAGGTAAGAAAGAAAAAGAAAAAAAAGGAGGGGGAGGTGTTTTTGGTTGTTTTTAGGTTAGGGAATCCCATAGGGTTAGGCAGTCCTTAGGGTTAGGGGGTCCTTCAGGGTTCAGATTAGGGGGTCCCTTAGGGTTAGGCAGTCCCACTTGTCTAGTAAGAATTATGGAAAATCAAAAAGTCAGACACTGATGAAACTTAAGTAACTTTTATTTATCACAACTTAAAACACAACATTTTGATATGTAGAGACTAAAGCAGTTGGCCCGGATGCATCGTCATGCCTGAAATTTAGACAGACAGACAGCAAACATCAATCACCAGCGACAGTAACCGTATCAGGTAAAGTAATAGTAGTGGCAGTAGCACATTAGCTATTTCAATGTTTTGATGCAACTTACTTTATTAAATTATTAATAATATCGCTTAAATCAAGTAGATTGGTCTTCAACTGTTTCATCAACTCTAGCAGGGGAGGATCATTTTTCACAGATGGGCATACCTTAAAGGTAAGTATTTAATCAGTGTAATGTTTTTAATTTTAAACAACTAATAAAATTTAATTAATGTTTTTACAGTGCTCTCATCGATTACACGATTCCAGACATCAAGATCAGCCAGGACAGACTTCAACCTTTCAGATGCTGCCTTAAAATCAATCAGGACAAACATATTTTTAACAACAGTGTATACATTGATTTATATATATATATATGTCTGTTTTTTTTATATGTGCAATGCCTCACCAGCTTGCCTTTTCAAAATCTCACAGATATTCTCAAGGTATTTTGACCTTATGACAAAAACTTTAATCATATATGTTTTTAGTTTTACCTGTGTGTCTATATATGACAATAAATTGCTGTTACTTACGTCAGCTTCTTCTGTTATGTCGGTCTGAGATGACACACTCTTTTGATTTCCTAATTTGTCAGATTTTTCCATCATCTTTGCCATGATGACGGTTGTGATTACCCTGGAAAAGATTAAAATTAGGCTTTTATATTTCATCCATTACAATATATGACAATACAAAATAAGACAAGCCACCATAAAGTGTCTTAGAATGACTTTTTCCGTAATTGCGCTATCTACCGTAAAGCTTCATAGCATTGCCGTAATTATGTTATAGCATTTCCGTAATTTTATTATAATATTTCTTTAATTACATTATCTAGCTTAAAGCTTCATAGCATTTCTGTAATTACATTATAGCATTTCCATAATTGCGTTATCTAGCATGAAGCTTCATAGCATTGCAGCAATTACATGATAGCATTGCCATAATAACATTATCTAGCTTAAAGCTTCATAGCTTTTTTAAACTTCATCAAGAACCTTATAGACGTTTCCAAGCATTGGGAAAACTTCAATAGACTTGATTATTAGTCAAATGCAATCACATGCCTATGCCCCTGCACGTTTTTAATCTTCATTAGGCTACCAAACATTTCTCGTAAACGTATAAGACAGGTGCAGCTTGTCGCTCGTATTTAAACATTATAGTCTAAGCGTTTCACTCTGAGATAAACAGTAAAATGCCTTAAAACTTATTGTAGAAGATTAAATGCTACTAAGGAACATTTTACATTACTTACCAAAAAAATGCTTATAATAATGTTTCCTGTCAGCTTTCCGAAGATTTTCTGTGCGTGCAAAAAAGTACCAAGGCTTTTGTACTGACCCACCCAGTCACATGACAGATTTTTGCCCAATGAATGCCCAAAGTCTATTAATATATTTACATATCATTAATAAATCTGTAATTTAATGCTGTGACCATCAACCTACCATGCACTTCTGTAATTGCACAGTCTTCATAATTGTGATGTGTGTTTTCTGGTTTCATTAGACTAACTTAGCAATTACGAAACTGTGACGTGTGTTTTCTGGTTTCCTTATAGTAAGTTAGCAACTTTGTAATTGTGATGTGTCTTTTCTGGTTTCATTAGACTAATTTAGCAGATTAGGAACTGACGTGTGTTTTCTGGTTTCATTGGACTAACTTAGCAAATTAGGAACTGTGACGTGTCTTTTTTGGTTTCATTAGACTAACCTAGCAGATTAGGAACTGACGTATCTGTTCTTGTTTCATCAGACTAACCTAGCAGATTAGGAACTGACGTATCTGTTCTGGTTTCATCAGACTAACATAGCAAATTAGGAACTGTGACGTGTCTTTTCTGGTTTCATCAGACTAACTTAGCAACTTTGTATTTGTGATGTGTCTTTTCTGGTTTCATTAGACTAACCTAGCAAATGAGGAACTGTGACGTGTCTTTTCTGGTTTCATCAGACTAACTTAGCAACTTTGTATTTGTGATGTGTCTT